CCGACTCGGCCATCCCTGGTTCCCTCCTCTCAAGCCAATGACCAGAGTCTAATGACTGCTCGAGCTGCTTCCTGAACGGGGACGTCGGACCCAGCGTGCCAACGGGCGGCTTATTCGACCCCGCGAGTGATGGTGGCTGGCGACGAGGACGCCCAAATCAATAAATCAGAACGAGAAGCCCGCACGTTCCGACTTCCAAGGAGACACTCGGAGGGCAGAGAAAGGTGGGAGGAGGCACGGGCACTTATCTATGAATGGAGCTGTGAGAGGCAGTTTGTCGAACGAAGCACAAGTTTCTCACCAGAAGACGTCCTTCGCGCACAACGTGCACCAGGAGACGGCGTCCCATTCTGCCACTATCCGCCTAGCCTGGTATTGTGCTCCACTCGAAGACGAATATGAATGCAAGGATACGTACAGATACACAGCCAGACGACTCACACCGTCTGTCGTCCGAGCCGGCGGGGAGCTCCGCCACCGTGAACACGTTGCGGCCGCGCTGTAAGTGACAAGCGGGGCACCGCCATCGTTCGCGTGCTGCTGTATCGGGCGCAAGAAGTCGTAGATCCGGCGACGGGAGCGCAGCGAGCTTGATAGCGATGCGATTGCGAGCGATCCCGAGGAGCTCCCCATCGCCGAGGACGTGAACGTGGGAGGCGGACGCGGGCCCAGTAAGCACAGCGCGTACGGTTGGCCAGTGCTGACGTCCGCGCAGATATCTACACGACGCATCACGTGTCCTGGGGGAAATACGCGTCAATATTGGGCAGGCCTCCGCTCAGGGTCCAGTTGCGATCTCGTCCCCGCCATCTGAATCTCCCCGAATCTCGCGTCTCGCAGCGCGCCTCTCGAGATGGGCGATGGGAGATTGGGCGATCCGCATGCATGGGAGGAACGAGATCAGCATCGAGCGCGAGGCTCGCGCTGCAGCTGCCTGGCTTCGACACTAACACCGGCACTGGTACTGGCAGCCCTCCACCAACGTACGGGAACGCGAAGGCTTCTGAGGGATTGGCGCACTATTAACATGGACACGGGGCGTGCATCATCGCCAGGCAAACTAGGCGAGGCACGGCGGGCAAAGCGCCAGGCTCCGAGCAGGGAAAGTTGTGTGGCATTTATGGGCAACGCAACCTGACCCTAGCATTTCCAGTGGGCCTTTGTATCCCTCTTTGTGATTTGGGAAATCTTACGGGCACATTGCATGGCACGTATATTTAGCATAGATTTCCTCACCCGGACCATCGCGCTTTGCCTGCCGTGAGGGGGGCAAGAAAGGCGCCGCCGCTAGAACGAACGCGGGCAGTACGGGCAGAGTGGCGACGCGGAGCTCGCAGTTGTAACCAACACGACGCGTGCAGACGCGTTCTGAGCGTTCTTAGAGCTCGTCTGCTACGCTAATGCCATACGGTTCGCCACTACAGCGTGATCCACGCGCATAGTGCACAATATGCACGCCACACACGCCGGAATGGCATCGCAGTGGCGCGCCAGTACCATCCGTAACACCACCGTTCCGTTCGCAGCAGACATATAGACGGCGTCCCGAGAGAGCGCAGGATCGAGCGGGACTCAGAATCCGGAGGTGCCGGGAAACGCTCGGATGCGCACGGCCTACTGCCCAAAGGGACTGAAAGGAGTCAGTCAGCAGTGCACTCCACATCAGCCCGCAGGCCTCGTTGTGCAGCTAGCTCAAAGTGCTGAGCGCGTTGGGCTTCCATGGATTCATAGAACGGGTGCACGTTGTGGTTTTGAAGACGGCCCCCAAGGCACGGTCTGTGATTGCGCTCGGTTCCTTGACCTTCTATAGCGCCTGGCACTGAATTGCGCCGAGTCCTTGGCCGTGGGCGATTGCTGGCTGCTGATCGAGTGCACCCGGGTTGGGAGTGTGAGAGTTGAGTTTGCGCTGATGAAGGGTCGCGCGCAGCAAGACGACCACGTCACGACTGTAGGCTTTGGCTGCGAGGTATCTTCTGGAGTCCTAAGTCCGGATGCTGTCGCTAGAGAGAGCAATACAGATGCCGAGGCAGGTTGTCGTCATAGCATGCTGAGGGCAACTTCGCGAAGGCAGCCGTCGCAATCCCTTCACGAGAGGTCGAGATATCCCAGGCGTTCTGGTTCGAAGGGGCATACGCAAGCGTTTTCCCAGGCCCGAGGACAGGTGGAGACGAGTCACGGACGGTAGAGCAGAAAGAAGGCACTGCGAATGCGGGGCACGATGTAGGATGCATCGAGATCAGCAGGCTCGTGAGTACGCACGGATGCTCATGGCCTCACGATACGACAGGGAACATGGAAGCGCGGGTGGTTACTTGAGACGATCGCCTTCAGTCGACACGTAGCGCGCAGGAATCACGGAGATACCGTGAGGACGCGATGTGCAAAAAGCTCCGATTACCATAAGCGGATGGTGTGTGGCTGGGAGGTGTCTTGCGCTGAGCAAGAGAAGCACGGCCGGTAATAGGGGGTCCCTTCGACGCACGTCAGATGCTCGGCGTTGTGACCGTCGGGTGTGACATCGGGGGACCTAGAACGATATGATATGCAGGGACGGATCGTACGGTGAGCTGTTTCTGGGTGCAGTTACCCAGGATCGACGTCGTCAGCGAGACTGGGTCGGAAAACTGCCATATAGGGCCCTGACTGGTGCCGTCATGTGGCGCAGCAAAATTTTCCAGTGTGGCTGCGGTCTGCACCTCGGCGGACGTTCAGTAGCGGCCAGGAGAGCCTGGATGTTCAATTCGGCTAGACCGATGTGGTCATTGAGATGACATTGGACTTGGGACCGGCAGAAAGAGTCAATGAAGAAGCAAGGCAGCCAATGGGGTAGCTGATTTCAGCGACGCCACACCCGGTACGAAGGTCGTCTAAAGAAACGTTCTCCGCATAGGCGTCACGGAGGGCAACAGAGACTGGTTCTGGACCTGGAGCTATTAGCGCTGCGAGAAGGGAAAGGATGTGTCAAGTTCGCAAGGGGTCAGCGCTCCGGACATATCTTACAGAACAGCACATCGACGCCCTTCGTTCACGGCGCGCGGCAGGGCCTTGGCCCGTCAACCTGAAGATGATGTATGTTTCAACAGGGCGCATGTGCACAGAGTTGAGACAAACGCCTACCTTGTATAGCGCCAAGCCAGAGACGGCTTATATGCGCGCATGTCTTTGGCCTGATGTACTTGGGTATGGAAGGCTGCACGTAGTTGACAAACGGTGAACGCTGGAGCTACTCACTCAACTGGCTGGATGCTCCCTCCGTTCCAGGCACGACATGAAGGATAATGACGTATTTAAGTCGGCGCTGGAGGGAGAATTTGGCCTCGAGGGCGTCGTGGCCGCTGCTAATTCCGCTCTTCCAAGGTAGGAACTGACCCGAAGGCGGCCAGGAGGTGATCCAGCTGAGGAAGCTGTTCAATCGACAAGGATAGCCCTGCCGTGAGAGTCTGCATGCTCATGGGTTCTGCACTCGCACAGAATGCTACGTTTACGACGTTGCACGGAAGATGCGACGGTCTTCCTCCCGATCTCATCAATATAGTCGAGACGCATGTCAACCGTAATTGTACGAGACCACGCTCAGATATACTTCGCACCTGACTGAAGTGCTGGCGGCATGCCACAGCCATCTCCAACTGCTTCTGACACGGGATGCCAGAGGTGTTCCGATGCGAGACTCGGCGCACTAGTGGCAGGGCGTCACGCTGACTTGCTGCGTGTACTGACGCCTGAGATCGAGGGTGCAAAATGTGCTGCTGATGCAAGTGGCCAGGCAAGTCGGTTCTCCTCGACAAGTGCAAGAAACATAAGCGGTTCGAAGGAAGGCAAGTGGTGGAGTGAGCTGCATTCCGGCAGAGAGAACTGTCGATGTGGCAGGATGATGGAGGAGTGGCCGATTGTGGAAGGCGGCATCGGTTCCGTGGTCGTATAGACGCCCATGGTGGGTCGGAACAAAGTTCGGAACGCTCGAGGTCCCGCCGCTTTAGCCGTACCCCGTATCACCCCGTCCCGAACTGTGCCTCTATATATGCATCCTCGCGCATGAACTTCGCCTCGCTTGACTTCAAGCTTTCGATGCATTGGCACGAATTTCTAGAGAAGATGTCATGCATGCATTGGACTAATCTTGATTTCATGCAGCTGCTCAAGTCCCTGCTGTCGTTCGGATTCCCTCGTCGGCGGGCGCATTGTACCCACATCACGGCCCGTAACGCCGCTTAGCAAATTCTGGGGCATCGCCGACGTCATATGTCCTGGGACACGGCGGCTTGACAATGATTGTCGGCAGACAGTCGATGCAGGCGAAGTTCAAGGGCCAGCTTTTGTTTGACGTGTAAGACTTTTTCTGCCGCCTCGCCGACACCACAGTGAACCACAAGAACTCATACAATTTTGCAGAAGGGCGCATGCCGATCTGCGTTGACGTGAAATGAGAGCCTCTCAGGCACCAAGTGCGCTCGCCGACAAGGAGTGCAGCGTCGACGAAATTACCGACGTCGGGATGCGCCACTAGTTACGCTCTCATGACCTCTAAGGTTGTGTACGGAAATATTCATCCGCTCGACGAACAGAGTCAATGCGTCACTTTGTCCCGCTTCATAGTTTCGCAGTGGGCGCGTACGTGCGGGTTATGCGGCCCGGGCTGCTTAAGCGACGGGCATGATGGTAGTCGAAGTGCACGAACTCGAAGAAGGATGATCACAAGACTCCACCTCGCCTGCGAACGGGTGCGACGAGCTCGGGAAAGCTATCATGCCGGAGTCGGCTCTTACCCCGCCCTCTGCTCACTGCGATAGCGGCGGCGGTAGTGCCCGACTTAAAGGGAGGCGGTCGCCAAACAAACTTGACTTGTGCCCTCCTCGTCTGACCCAGCGTAACCGACGCTCGAGAGGCCTCTCCACGACTTCCCCTTCCTCCCCTTGCACAAATTTCTCGTGAAGGCCTTACATCGCACACTAGGACACTGGCGTGAGTCCGCACAAGATGGTAAAGAGGCTTGCGGGTAGACGACTGTACTATACTATCAACGCCGTCGCTGGACTGGCAATTTTCTTGTGCGTTTCTGCACTACCTCTTCCCATATCGTGATATTGACTTCCGCCTCAGCTTCGGTTATGATCAAGGCATGATGGGAGGTGTAAACACCTCTCCCGACTATGTTCGGGTGATGAAGCTCGGATACTCGACGTAAGTCTGACAAAGTAATGCGCCATGTACAACGCTCATATGCGCAATGGCTCGCATGCAGCTATGAAGGTCCTTCAGAGGGCTATGTAGCACATATTACGGAACCGACACGGCAGGGCGGCATCGTTAGCATCTACTATTTCGGCACGCTATTGGGGTGTCTGATGGGTGGCGTACTTGGAGACAGGTATGCCTTCAAGACGTCTTTGTACGCGAGCTAACGTCACGTTACGCAGGCTTGGACGTATCAAGACTATGATTCTGGTAGTCTTCACCTCACCATGGTGTTAGTGCGGCAACTGACTTACGTCAACCTCAACAGGGCAGCATTTGGGTTCTATTTGGCGCTGCGCTCCAGTGCTCCGCTCAGAATATTGCATGGTGAGCTCGCGTCTTTCTGGCCTCGCAGTATCAGAGATGCTTCTCCGAATGGATTACCACCGGAGCTGGTGCCATGGTTCCGTCAGGGGGCTTTGCCTCATGTCCGTCGACTTCGCTACATGCTGTCGTCTCATACGCGCGAGCTTCGCGAACGAGTTAGGAGGTGCTACACCTTGTGTGCGCGCCAACTAGAGTTTAGAGTTGCGGGGAAGGCGCCTGTGTGCTCGGCAGGGGTGGCACAGAAGGTGGTCAGGATGCATTCATGGGGCGATCCACCGCTGGGTCCTCAGGCCGATGGTGAATCATCGACCTGTGTAGACGGCCTTCGCCCATGCACAAACCGAACGTTCGACTTATGCTGACTCCGGTGATCGCAGGATGTGCTGTGCCCGCATCATCAACGGTATTGGAACTGGCCACCTCAACGCAATTGTACCCGTTTGGAGCGCTGAAGTGGCGACACACACCTCGCGCGGAGCGTTCATCGCAAGCGAGTTCACACTCAACATCTTTGGCGTGGTCGTCGCGTACTGGCTCGAGTTCGGCCTCGGCTTCGTGGGGGACGGCACGTCCCAAGTCCGCTGGAGGGTACGTGATGCATGCAGTCCACCGAAGGCCCCATGACAAACGAGAACTCATTGGTTCTTGTCCATTGCAGTTCCCGATTGCGTTCCAAATCATCCCTGTGCTCGGGTTCATGGTGAGTACCGCTCGCGTGCGTGCCAGCTGACGTCTTCGTCGGTCTCACGCCTTTCATCTCATCACAGGCGTGCATTCCATGGATGCCCGGTAATTAACGTTCCCCTTCAAACGAACGTACGAAGCCCATGCTGACTAATCCGAAACCCTCCATCCTGCACTCGCGATACCCCACAGAGTCTCCTCGGTGGCTCATAAAGATGGGTCGCGTCGACGAAGCGCGCGCAATTCTCGGCCGTCTGCGCTCAGAGGACGGGAACATCGAGGCGCCCCAGGCACAGCGCGAGTACGAGGATATCGCCGCGACAGTCACGCTCGAGAAGGAACACTCGAAGCGCAACTCGTACATCTCCATGTTCTTTGGCTTTCACGATGGCGGCTTGCACATCGCACGGCGCGTGCAGCTTTCGGTCTGGCTCCAGATCGTCCAGGAGTGCGTGTTTCTCTCGCTTCGTCATCAGCAACCCTTTACGTCGCCAAGAGCTAATCGTTTGGCTTGATAGGTGGGTTGGAATTGCAGCGATCACTGTCTACGCACCGACCATCTTTGCGGAGGCTGGCTATGGCGCTCGCAAGGCGCAGTGGTTGTCCGGGCTTAACGACGTAAGTACGACCCCATTTGCCTCGCTTCTAATCAGCTGCTCTTGTTGCGATGCTTATTATCCTTTGTCCTTGGCGTTCTTCGCGTGCCTGACGTTGCTTCTCCCTTGTGCTACATGCTGGCTTCGTGATTTCTTTCTCCTTCATGTCCGCCCTACACGATCATCCACCCTCGCACGCAACCGCAATTAGGTTACGTACATGTTGAGTACGCTCCTTGCCGTGGTGACCATCGACCGCCTCGGCCGGCGTGTCGGTCTCTGGTGGGGCGCCGTGGGCCAGGGCATCTCGCTCATCCTCGCTGGCGCGTTTGCGCGGCTGCTGAAGGACCACCCGGAGAAGGCCTCGCAGTACGGTGGTGCGGCGGCCCTGTTCGTGTTCCTATACACGTTCATATTCGGCGCGACATGGTTGACGATCCCGTGGGTGTACCCGACGGAGACGTTCCCGCTCGAGGTGCGCGCGAAGGGTAACGCCTTCGGAGTGTTTGGTTGGTCGATTGGTGCGTCTTCTCTTGTTGTTCTTGGGCGCGCTGTGCGGATAGCTGAGGGCGCTCTACTTCTGGCTTGGCAGGCAATGGATGGTTGACGCTGCTGAACCCGGTCATGTTCAACCGCATCGGCGAGAACACACTGCACATCTTCGGCGCGATCAACTTCTTGAGCATTCCGCTCATCTGGGCATTCTACCCCGAGACGGCGAACAGGACTCTCGAGGAGATGGACTACTTGTTCATGAGCAAGAGTCCGTTCGTGTGGGACGAGGAGGCGAACTTCAAGCGGATGAAGGAGGAGGCGGAGCGGAACCGCATCCAGGGCAAGATGCCGCTGCCCGACTCGGAGGTAGAGGCAGGCGAGGATGAAAAAGCCCCACCCCCTCCTGTAGAAGTAGAGAACGCCCCAGAGAAGATCTGAATATAGAAGCGTTCATCCTTGCATTAGTTTCTCGCTGTATTGTAGGATTCATAACGATTGACTATGACTTGGCTCCATGACACATTTGGTTTACGTATGAATGAGGTGCTTTAATCTCGGCACTATCGCTGACCTGATGGAGCCATAGGACACCCTTGAGCTCGTCATAGTATCCAGGTGTATGCCAGAAGACGATGCATTGGCATTCCTGTCGATTGTGCCGCGCCCTGTAGCACATGATAGTGGACGAACTTCTTGACGGAGGTCGGGAAGTCGCGCCATACGCGTGGAGAAGAGAAACGTGCGGCGTAATACCAACTGAAGTGTGTTTGTATAGTGAAGCGGAATATATAATCGCACACGTCCATTCTCAGACGGATCGGAAGACTGGCAATCGGCATGGGGAATTCGAGGGCGTCGATCCAATGAAACAGTGGTTGTAATTCCTTTACATCACAACCGCAGGCAGTCTACCTACTCTCTGGACGTGCAGGCCGGGTCTGCTTCCTCATTTCTGACCTCGTCATCATCTTCCCCATAGTCATCTTCTGGTCTGATATAATCATGGGCTTCAATCGGAGTACCAAGTGATCCGACCACCCGGTCGAATATAATAGAGCCTTCGGGGTTTGTCGAGGTAGCATGCGAAGAGGCTATGAAGCCGACGTCTCGGAGACTCGCCGACTGCAGATGTAGGAGGAAGCGGGATATGAGAATGGCCGATAACCTTGGAAAGCATGATCCTAGTTCAGTAGAAAGCTTCCGATATGGGAAGATACACTCATACGGGATTGTGAAAGTAGTTAATGCGCTAGTGCTTTGCAGCCCATTCGAATCCAGCTGTTGGACATGAGTGTATCATAACCTAGGATAACAAGTGCCGCATTACCGAGAGAACCGTGAAAACTAGGTGCAAGCAGTTGAGGATAGAAAGGGTGCTAGGCAAGGTGATGGTGAGATTTGGTGGAAGACTATTGTATGCGACTCACACAAAATAGACTGTCCCTGAATGCAATAACGTTGGCGTCGCTAGGAGAAAATTGGGTGTACACGCTAGAGCTTACCATCAAGCAAGAAGACACTGGATATAGTGCCTTTGAGCACGCTCATATGGTGGACGCTGTGAGGTCGTTGGGCCAGTGTGGACCATGTTGCACCAATGGCGAGGAAATCTGCCGCAATCAGGCAGGAGCGGGATATAATGACAACTAACATAATCGCCCGTCAGAGTTGGGGGCTATCTAGTATAGGTATACGCCTTACGTCTGAAGCGAATGCAATCTTTTTAGTAAGGCATTAGCACATCACTATACAAGCGGCGGTAGGGACTGACTTTGTCGAGAGAGCCACGGGGGTATGGTCGATCTCTTCACATCCGAAGAGGAAGATATTCTTTCCCGTCAGTTGATACCAGAAGTTGACCTGCCAATTGTCAAGCAGTCAGGAGACGATGACCTATGTGTTACACAACAATCTCACGAAATTGGCTCCCACAGGCACTACGGATAGGACGATGGCAATAGTGCATAGAAACCAGCTCCTTCCGAGTGCATAAACACGTATAGCTACGAAGGCTGAATGAACCAGTTTTGAGTTGGATTCACTTCGGAACAAGAGGTACGCGGGGCTCACCTGCTGGAATTAGGTTTAGCAAGGAACCCACAGCATAATCCCCTTTCATAGAGAGGGCACAGCTACACATACATGTGAGGTTCTAGCACTCCTGAGCAGGAGCGGCTCAGTAGGATCAACTCACCTCTGGCATAGTTTGTCAGCGGACATACTCAGCTCATCCAATGGAGGTTACATACCTTGTCGGATATGCTCAATCCAGTCGCAAGGTCCCAGACCAAGGTGAGCGTGGTTATGTACTTATTCAGCCAGAAGGGTATGGCCGCTCCGGTCACTTTCCCTCTCCAGAAGAACCGTATTTCGTCTATTGTAGTGACGATTGAGTCGTACAAGAAGACCACTGTGATACGCAGGGTTAGCAGCAATTACATGGTGTTGAGGGCCCAACGACGGACTGCGAATGAGCGGCATACCTGCTCCAGCACAAAAGCAGTAATTGCCGATCATGCTACACCGTGTGGGCAGGCTTCAGTGCCTGTAGTTTGAGCTTGAGATGCAAAACGACGCGACTCACTTGTTAGCATATTGAACAGCTAACTGTGCAGCCTGAGAGGACGACATGCGAACAGGAGGGATGGATACAATGCGTGGTTTGTGAGAGGGCAATCACGGAGAGCGGGGGGAGTGTATATACGTACCAAGATCCATAATGTGAGTTAACTGGTGGCTCCTTATCTTGTCTCATGGTTCCATGAAGGAACACTTCACTCCTTCGTGATATCAGATGGTGATATGCAATATTAGCCCCATGACCAGCCTCTGTTGTGCGAACTAGCCTGAAATGATTCACCTTCCAACTGAGATCCCTCATTCTCAATAATAGATATCATAGAAGCTCCGGACACAATCTCAAAGTTCACCGGTGCACCGTCGGTAGCATATAGATAGTTTCTAACCTCAACGATGAATGGACGAGAGCACGGATATGAGTTTAGATTACTATATCAGAGGGCTTACGAGCCGACGTGTAAAATGTTTCTGCTCACCTGCTGCAGAGGCATTCGGAGTGAAGAAGGGGGTTTTAAGCTGGGGAGCAGTAGCACTTTCCGTCGGTGGAGACCCGTCCGAGAATAGCAGAGTTACGGTTCTGCTGGCCAAATGAAACCAAAGGTATAGCATCATATATCCATTCTAGAGTGGACCGCTACGTAACGAAGGGTGCGAGTAAGACGGATAGATTCGCGGTTTGAACTGAGCAGAAATAGAACTCATGGCATGAGGATGCATCGAATGCAGTCTATGTCAACTTTCGTGTGCCCCAATCGCTGATGAACATCGCGCCTTCCAGCATATTACGTCCCATTCGTCAGCACTCGAGCACTCATGGCTGGATATGCCCTGATTATGCATCAAGCACTTCTCGTTCTCGATCTGATGACACTTTATGCTTAGGCAAATAGCTACCGGATAGTTGCCCCTATCTGGTCCTCGGGTCGGGTGAGCGGACGGCGCAACCCTTCTCGAGCTTCGCGCGTCCTTCGCGTTTCTTGTAAATTATTGAGGTAACATGGAGTGCAAGACCATACACCGTCTGACACGTTCCATGCGGCATAAGATACGAGATCGGAATGTGGTGGGTTGTCTTGTGCCGAAATTCGTTTAGCATGAATATATGCGGCCGTAAGACCATTGGCGACACTGCTTGGGTCAGCCTATACTATGCCGACTGACGGGCGCAAGGAACAAAATCGAGCTCTAGCCTTGCCTACTCGGAACACTATTTTGGTCTGCCCGGAGCCTGCATATATGCGCCGTATTGGAAGCATACAGCGTGCTGCATGCTAGTTGTCCTCACCCAGACGATGATGTAGAGTGAAGGGAAACGTACTCGTTCACTCTCACAACACATAGGAGACGTTTGTCCTTTTGGCGAAAGTGACATGCGCTCGTCTTGCGCATTCCGAGTGTTTGGCAGTAAGAGTTTCTTTGCTCATCCCCTTCTGTGGCAGCCCCTCAATTGGTCAGTGTCAGCCGTAACAGGTGCCAGTAATTAGGAGACTCGGGGCGCACGAGATGAAGCGTATGCTCGCACAATATTCAGGTCTTCAAGGGTGGAGGCCTGGTGGAGGCCTGGTATGTAGATGTCAAATGTCGTCACCCGTGATAGCGGCTGTGACCCAGAGGAGAGCCCGGCCCGGGGCGGCGGAGGCGCGATATCACCACGCCCAACGCCGGCGCTTGCGACTCGTTCTTTCGACTCTCGAGTACCGCCGCCGTCTATCACTCCTCATCTCCTCAAGCATCCTATAGATACGGCTACAGCGACACGCCATTGCACGACGTGCGCCCTGTCGACTTCCTTGGAGCTCATAACACGGAGTACGGGATACCTCTATGACACGCGATGGACGATCATCTTTTCCGGCCGCCCATGACCTCTACCCAGACTCGCGGACTCACGGTTAGTCTGATGTAAGTTACTGCCCCTACCTTAGAAGCATCCCAATGAACGTCTGACCAGTCATATGGCTATGAGGTGATGCTTGCTGCTTGCTGTTCGTAACGCCGTCATGTGGGTCTTCGCTTCTTGGCATCCAGTTCTGCCCCCGTACCCGGTCCCGCATACACTCAAGCGATATCAAGGAGGCTACATATAGTGTGAAAGGCATTGGAGGGGATGTTGAGTCGCGACTCTCCATAGGCTTGCCATCGGCGTCGACATGCGCGTTTTGTACCCAACTCCGCTGCTCTGCGCAACGGCTGTGGCTGCCGTACCTTACCAACAATACATCCTTGCTCCTCCCTCGCGAACTCTTCGACCCGTCGCCGTACGGCTCCAAAGCGGTTCACTTTCCGCTGCAACTGCTCTTTTAGACAGCCAGGTTTCCCTCAGTCTCATCTTAGATACCTTCAACTCCTCGGTAACATACGACTTTGGCAAAAATATCGCCGGCTCGGTCAACTTCAATACAACCTCGAACGGCGGGGCGGTCGGTTTCACCTTCACCGAAAGCTCTCTGTGGATTTCTGCAGATGCATCCGACGCCACGGCGGACGCGGGATTGGACGCACCTCTCGTGTTCAACCTTACGGGTGCGGGACATTATGCGCCTCCTACTGACAGGGAGCGTGGCGCGTTCCGCTATCTAACGGTCGTCAACCTCGGTCCCGGCCAGGTCTCCATCAACGACCTCTGGGTGCATTTCACGGCGATGCCGCATTGGAGAGCCGACTCATTGCGGAACTACACAGGATGGTTCCATTCTAACGACGAGAAGCTGAACCGGTGTGTGCCCACTCAATGCTACGTAGCTGACTCAAGCTGACGGTCGCCGTAGGGTGTGGTACGCTGGTGAGAGGGTCGCCCATCCTGACCTGCAACTCGTACTCACGATGATGCAGGGGCGTACACCAATCAACTCGTGACGATCGACCCGACCCGTGGCGACGCTCTCAACTATCTCAATGTAATTACGAGCAATTCGACAGTCACCGGTACACTGGACTGGTGGCTGAACACGACCATCACGAATGGCACTTCCACTTTGACCGATGGCGCGAAACGGGACAGGCTGGTGTGGAGCGGGGACATGTCTATCGCAGTCCCGGGTATCGCAGTCACGACGTTCGACCTCATCTCCGTC